CAGAGTAGTGTAAGTCATGTGCCTGAATACTCTGGGCTCTCAGGACGATGACAAGACTAGACAGAAAAGGACACTGATAAGCCAGGCACCTAAGCCTCACGTGCAGACGAGACCCCAGAAAGCTGGAAAGTTTACAGTTTTATGATACAGCCAGATATTATGAGCCTCAAAGGAGAAGAGATTTTTATAAGATGCAAAACTATGGTTTGGAATAGGTACTAGGGAGCTAGGAGAATGAATGCCAACGCCACCTCACGATTTATTTGAAGGGGCAGGGTGGCTTCTACTCAAAAGAGCTGCAGGATAAGAGTTTTTCAGAGGAAAAGAACTAAATGAATATAAAGAAAGAAGGTGAGGATTGTTATAGGAAAAGGTTGGGGATATACAGATTTTTTTTTAAAAAGACAACAGAAGGAAACTATCTCAACATAATAATGGCCATATGTGAAAAGCCCACAGCGGACTTCATACTCAACAGTGAAAAATTGAAAGCTTTTCCTCTAAGATCAGGAACAGAAGAACAACTCTCGCCACTTCTATTCGACGCAGTATAAGAAGTCCTAGCCAGAGCAATCGGGCAAGAAAACGGAATAAAGGGCACCCGAATTGGAAAGGAAGAAGTAAAATGATCTGTTTGCAGATGTAGAAAATCCTAAAGATTCCATGCCAAAAAACAAAACAAAACAAAACTTACAATAAACAAATTCAGCAAAGTTGCAGGACACAAAATCAACATACAAAAATTAATTACATTTTTATACACTAACAATGAACGACATGAAAAGGAAATAAAGAAAAAATCCTATTTATGATAGCATCAAAAATAATAAAATATTTAGGAATAATTTAACCAAGGAGGGACACTAAAAACTACAAAACATTGCTGAAAGAAATTTAAGATGAATAAATAAAAAGATATCCCATGCTCATAAATTGGAAGACTTAACATTGTTAAAATAGCCATATTATCCAAAGTGATCTGCAGCTTCGATACAATCCCTATCAAAAAAGTGGAATTTTTTGCAGAAATAGAAAAACATCCTAAAATTCATATGGAATCTTATGGGACCCCAAAGAGTCAAAACTATCTTGAAAAAAAGAAAAAAGTTGGAAGACTCACACTTCCTAATTTTAAAACATATTACAAAGCTACAGTAATTAAAACAGTGTAATACTGGCTAAAGACATATATAGACCAATGGAACAGAGTAGAGTGCTCAGAAATAAACCTTTGCAGATATGAGCAAATGACCTCCAACAAGGATGCCAAGACCACACAATGGGGAAAGGACTCAAAATGAATTAAAGATCTAAATGTAAAATCTAAAATTACAAAACTTCTAGGAGAAAACGTAAGAGGAAAGCTTCACGACACTGGATTTGGCAATGATTTCTTGGCTTTGACACAAAAGCAGAGGCAGCAAAAGCAAAAACAGATAAATGGATGACGTCAAATTTAAAAACTTCTGTGCATCAAATGACACAATCGGCAGAGTGAAAAGGCAACGTCTGAAATGGGAGAAAATATTTGCAAATCATATATTTCATAAAGGATTAAAGAATGCCTACGACTCAACATAAAGCCAAAAAACCTGTTTTGTTTTTGTTTTTAAATAGGCAAAGGACTTAAACATACATTTCTCCAGAGAAGATAAATGGCCAACAAGCATATAAAAAAGATCTTCAACACCACTAATCTTTAGAGAAGTACAAATCAAAACCACAAGATGCCACATCACACTCATCGGGATGGCCACTATTTAAACAGAAAATAATAACTGTTGGTGAAGATGTGGAGAAATTGGGACCCTTGTGCGGGTGATAGGAATGCACACTGGTACAGCCACTAAGGAAAACGGTATGGAGGTTCCTTAAAAAATTAAAAATAGAACTACCATATAATCCAGCAATCCCACTTCTGAGTATATACCCAGGATCTCAAAGACATACCAGTACACCTCAATTCACTGTAGCAGCATTATTCACAATAGCCAAGAGGCAGAAGCCACCCAAATGTCCATCAGCAGATGAAAAGGTAAAGAAAATGTGCTGTATACATATTGCAGAATATCACTAAGCCTTAAGGAAACCCTGCCACATGCTACATGGATGAACCTTAAGGACTCATCACACTTAATGAAATAAGCCAGTCACAAAAGACAAATACCATATAATTCCATGTATATGAAGAATCTAAAGCAGTCAAACTAATAGAAATAGAAAGCAGAATGGTGGTTTCCAGAGGCTGGGCGGAGGAGGAAATGGGGAGTTAATGTTCGATGGGCGGAGTTTCAGTTTTGCAAGAAGAAGTTTCAGATCTGGTGCATAACGTGAATATACTTAACACTCATGACTGCACACTCAAAAATGGGTACGGTGGTAAATCCTGTTATGTTTTTTACCACAATTTTTTTTTTTTTTGAAAAAGCGGGCAGAATTTAATAATGGCTAAATGGTACCGAAGCATGCAGGAGAAACGCTTGAGAAAAAGAAGGGCAGCAGGACACTGAAGGTCTGCACTTTGAGCAGTAACCTTGAACATCAAGGGTAGAGACAGCAGAAGGGGGCATCCATGCTTCTCCCACACTTCTGGTTCAAGCGGTTTCAGATCCAATACTGAACACGGCCTCTGCAGAAAATACAATGCTGGTTGCCGGGTGCGAGAATTATTTTAATGGATACAGTTTCTATTTTGCAAGATGAAATGGGTTCTAGAGACGGATGGTGGTGATGGCTGCACAACAATGTGAATGTAATAACACCATTTTATGTTATGTGTATTTTACCACAAAAAAATTTTTAAAAAAAGAACGCAACCTCTAATGTGCTGGGACTTAATGGGCCTTTTTTAAAGCCTCAAGACTACACGGACGAGAAATTATTACAGTATCTCCAAAAACATCCTGAACAGGGGACACGGTTATTTCCTCAAATCCTCCCCTAGCGGCAGACACAGCAGTAATCCTCAGTGGGTGGAGATTCTCCCTGACTGAGCGGCCTGGGCCTGGGCTGGGTGCCCTTGCAGTGGGAACCCTAATCCTTGCCATGGCAGGAGGTTTATGACGCTGTTAGAGAAAACCGCAGGCCCAACATGGCGCCACTCGTGCCAAAAGGCCAAACGTAGACTTAGTACCTGATCTCACTGCAGTTTCAGCCTCTACCAGAAATATAATCTTAATCAACCTATCTGGCACGTTCTGGTTAAGCACCAATAAAGTGATCTGTCACACAGGCCCTCTCCATCCCCCATAGGAAGGGGTGGCGATACGCATGACAATAACTCTTCCCATTCTTTTTCCTCGAAGAAAATATGCCCTAGACCAAGAAGAATCCTTTCCTTTGTGACTAGCTCCCTTGCCCCACCCTTCTTTCTATAAAACCCTCCATCTTGTACAACCCCTTGGAGCACACTTCTAGTTGCTAGATGGGATGCTGCCCAATTCACGATTCACTTAATGAAGCCAATTAGATCTTCAAATTTACTCAGTTAAATTTTGTTTGACAGAACCTTCCTTGAGGACTGTAGTTAGAAAAGGGAGGAAAAGGCAAACATCATATGCTTCATATTCCATTTGGTAAAACCTTTCCTCCACCCTCTCCTTTTCGAATATTACTAATTCTTAGGTCTACTCTTTATATACTAGCTAATGGAATTCAAGTGCTAAGCCTTAAGAATACTTAGAAAGGAAGGGAGGAAATGTTCCATCTTCTCGACAGCTGCAAAAAAACAGACACCATGCTGCATCACAAAATTATCTGACAATGGTGAACTGAGAACATTCACAAAAGTATCAGTACGACTCTCCTTTCTAATGTGAAGATGCTTATTACAGAGCCTAACTGTTCTGCTCTCTAACAAAGCAGTCATTTAAGACATCTGGATTGCACAGAGGGCTGCTATATAGTTAAGATGTAGCCCTCAATCCCCAAAAGATAGCAGATTGATTGGCTCTCTTAATAACTTATATAATTTTTATGTAAAAACTCTATTTACTTAAACCTATTAGCATATTAAGTCGGAAGCTGGGCTCTGGCACTTTCTTCTCCCTCCATGCCTGAGCTAATAAAACCCATGACTGTTGAATTCCTTATTCAGACAAAAGATTTGAAAGTCTTTGTCTCATTTAAACGAACCCAGGCTAAAGGGATAGATGAGGAAAGTCACAGGAGTTAGAGGAAGCAGAGTCAGTAAGTGTCCAGCGACCCGAGTGATAACAGCAGAGACTGTAAGAAGCCGAAGGAGTAAGCCCCATGGAGACATATGAGTTCCAATCTGTCTACCATTAGCTTGGCAGGTGACTTCTCTCTCTCTCAGCTGGGCCTCGACGTCTTCACCTTCCCATCTCACTACTATAGTCTGTATCCACGGCAATATCAGCTAGGAGTTCTGCATAGTTCCAATTTTACAGAACCGTTACAACCAGAAGTCTTTGTCTTTGTGGATTTAACACTTATTTTGCTTTTGACGCCATAACATTTTACATAGACAAGCACAGCTGAACAAGATTTTAACCTTAGGCCCTTCTGGACCATTCTGTTGTGGGAGGTAATGGTGGGGTAGGGGCCATCAGGTATTTACCAGTGTTTTCCATAGAGCCAATGGCCTCCCCATGTCAGCAGGCAGATTCCAGCTGTAGTTTTCTTCCAATGATTTCGAAGTGTTTTGAAGAACACAGTCATCTTCTTCTAGGGATTCTCTAGGTTATAGAGGCAGAAAAAGAAAAATACACATAATTATCCAACGTCAGCACATAGAGTCCCTATGACTCTGTCTTCCGTTTGCTCATTCTCTTGCTCTTCCCTCGCTCCCCTCCTTCCTACCGCTTCTCTGGCCTCTTCTCGTCTTCCCCCTTCTCGTCTCATCACCTTCCTTTTCTCCGCCCACTACCTTTTTTCCTTATTTCTTCACTTCTTTCCACCTGAATTATACTTGTTTCTTCTCTGATCATTTTTACCTCACTGTATTAGAAGGGAGGAGGGCAGAAAGAGAGGAAAGGAATTCTAGGCTTCCTATTTTTTCTTTCTTACAGGCACCATACCGCTGTTGAAGAGTATTTGTTGACCTGTTATATATAAAGGACTCAACATCAAATTAGTGATGTAAAGGGCTTATTCAAAATAGAAGAAAACACTAGACCCTCAATAGCAAAGTAAATAGAGAACATACACAGAAAACTCAATGAAGAGGACATGCACATGGCTATGTAAAAATATTCGACTTCCTGAGTAATCAAAAGCCATGGAAATTACAAAGAACTATCACTAGTCACCTAGAAAATGAACAAATCTTTTTAAATAGTCATATTTGCTGATGACAAAATGAGACAGACACTCTCACACACTCCTACAGGGAAGGTAAGCTCGCAGAACCTTACTAAAAAACAAAGCGGCATCCTTATTCTGTTTGTTTTCTTCTTAGCACTTATTTGATGATCCTCACTTGCTAATTATCAGCTTATCCCACTGGAATGTAAACTCCATGACAGTAAGAACTTGGACCATCTGGTCACCGCTGTATCCCCACTGCCTAAAATAAGATCTGGCACAAAGAGCCACCATTCAGTAAGTAACTGTTCAGTGTGATGGGGACAGGGCACTCTACCCCAAAGTGTGGCACATTGGCATACTGCACATTTTAAGCTGAAGGAGTTTAAGAAAACAGAAGAAGGACAGACCTCCTCCCCCATCTCACCCTTCTTCCCTGACAGGTCGAAAAGCCCTCTCATGTCTTCCTCTCCAAAGACAAAGGGACATCCGGAAGAATCCTGAGGAACAGCCCCTGCTGTGTCCCCCGCTCAGAAAGTTACCTCTGAACTCCTTATACTACCATGCTCCTCTGCTCGTCATCGAACCTAGCGTTCAGTACTCAGGTCTGTTTCTTTGGGTCTTCGATTCCTTATGAAGGCTCCCATGTCATGTAAAACCTATAATAAATGTGTAATGTTTTTCCTGTTACTCTGTCTTTGTCTAGTTTAATTTCCAGACCCAGCCAGGGACCCAAAGAGGGTCAAGGAAAACTTTCTCCTTCTCCTACGTTAATTGTCCTCACAAAGAACTTTTGCTGATACGGGAAAATCTCAAAATACAATGTTAAGTCAAATCGGCAAGATAAAAATACATAGGTAATTGCTATTATCCCAATTACATTCAAACATAAATAGAAATGGCAAAAAATACCAATAGAAATTAACTCACACACAAAATTTTAAGTAGTTCCCTCTTGGTTGTAGGTTTAGCTTTTAAATTGCAATGTATTTGCTAAGTTTTCTAAAATGAATACAAATAATTTTCTAAACAGTCATTTAAACAAAAATTTTTATGACTATATGTGCATGCAAGAGACCAAGAAAAAAAATGTTTTCGCAGAAGATTCTAGTTCTTTTATGACTCCCTTTGTAACCACACAGACTTCATTTCTTTAAGAAAGCTTTTCTGATTCAAGCAGGCTTTGCCTGCTATAATGGCAGTGACTCACTTGCTTTTCAGCCCTATCCTTCCATCTTTTTACGCCTGCTCCCTTCATCATTAAGCCTTAGGACATAAGGTTCCCACCAGTGTCAAATCTTTTAAGAATAAAGCCTCAGGTCTAAGGATCATGAGGATAATAAGTTTTGGTTAAACTAAGGATAACATCATCTTGGCTTTAGGTATGTTTCAGCCCCAGCCACAGCAGTCCCAGACAGGATGACGCCATGGCTGATTCCAGAATCAGATGCGATGATCAATTACCAACCCCACCTCCAAATCAGTAGCACCCACCACCCCTATACAATCTATCCCCTCAAGACTCAGAGGGCCAGGTCTTTCAAAAGTAGTTCACCTGTGTCTCCAGCACTTGCTACTCCCTAAAATAAACCTTTACTTTCTTTGCTGCAAACTCTGTACGTATCTCATTGGACTTGACGTACGCAGGCAGATGGACCCCTTTGCTTTGGTAACACCTTTAACCACAGAGATCCCTTTCTTGACCTAACTTTACTCAAGCTCCTCTGAGCTCTCTGATGGACTAGGCCCAAGCTTGGGCTTCCCTCTGTCCTTACAGAGTCCAGTTTGAGCAAGAATCCTGCTAAGTTAGTTTAGCAAAAACCCCCCACCCTTGGTAGCAGACCACCGCGGATATCTCATCACCGTGGCCTGACTTCACCAAGAAGTCTGTTGAGTCATCCTAACAAGAATTCCCCTTATCGATGATATTTTCTCTAAGTAATTTTCCACTCACTGACCACCCCCAACTCCACCTGCTTCTTGACTATAAACTCCTACTCATCCTTGATGGAGTCAGGAGTTGAGTCAAACCTACTACCCTATTCCAAGATGCCCACTGCAGTGGTCTCTACATTCATCAAGACACCTCTCCTCCAGTCCCTTGAATAAAGTCTACCTTACTATTCTGTAACAAGTGTCACTAAATTTTTTCTTTAACACCACTATTGGTTAAAATTCCTCTCAAGGCAAGAAACATCCTTCTCACCAGCAATAGTGCCAGGGAGCACAGCTACCCATGAATCAGGGACATAGTCCAGGCTGGTACATAATGGAACCCAAAGGCACGGGACAATTAAAGGCCACTCCATCTGGTCCCTAAAGCACTCACCATTCACCGAGACTTTAATAAACACCTATATGCTAGGCTCTGTATTGGGTTCCAGGCGGGGAAGAACAAGTCTCCGTTTTCCAGTGCTCACAACTGTTAAACCCACAATGTCAATTATGCAACTTATGGTTGCAATACAGTGGAAGGAATGTTGAAAAATAAGCCACCAGCTCTGTGAGAGTTCACAAGAATGGACCCAACATAGACCGGAGGCGGCATGCTGGTGCATGGTCAGGGAAGTCTTCCCAGATGGCATGACAGAGTGATAAAGAATGAGGAAGAGTTGAAAAAGGAGTTAAAGAGACTCATGTGCACATAGATAGGCATAAAAGATACCCAAGTTGTTCAGGAAAACACAGGTAGGCGGTCAGGTATAGATACAGAGCAGGGTAAACGTGGGGCAGTATCTAGAACAAGGCCTCTCAAACGCGAATGTACCAGTTGCTAAAAGGCAGAGAACTTGTGTAAAATGCAGAATCTTGAGCATTACCCCTGATGTTCTGATTAGAGCTGGCTGGGCTGTCATTTTCATCTTTAGCAAGCATTCCCGGGCTTCTAATGAAGGTCAGCACCACACACACTCTGAGAAACAGTGGTTTGGAGATAAAGGAGAGGGAAGGTGGCAGGTTGGAGATAAAGGATGGGGAAGGTGGGGGAAGTTCAGAAAAGATCAGAAAAAAACTTTGAATCCACGCTAAGGACTTTAGATATTATGTTGAAGGTGATGAAAACCTTGAAGGGATTTAAGCAAGTGAGTGAAATGATTATATTTGAACTGTAGAAAGATCACTTTGAAGCAGAATGGAGAATGGACTGGATGAAGCTAAAGAGAGCCGGTAGGAAGTTGTTGCCATAATCTCTAGGCAACTAAAAGAATAAAGGAGCAACAGAGAGATGGTGGATCTGGGAGATCCTTATAAAATAGAACGTGGTAACACTTGGTGATCAATTGATTGTAGGAAGGGAGAGAGGAGGAACCAAGCCAGGTTTGTATTTGGGCGACTGACTGGATAATGATTTCAATCATTAGATTTGGAGTGCAGGTTTGGGGGGGAAAGGTAGTATGTGTAGTTTAGGAGACACTAAGTTTGAGATGCCTGTAGAGCATCCAGACAGAAATGATCAGTGAATATCTGGATTTAGCGGTTTGAAGCTTGGAGAAACTATCTGGGTGGAAGATATAAATTTGGAGTGATAGCGATTTGGGACCCGGTATGAAGAAGGTCAAGTGTGAGCACAGACAAAATCACCCAAAGGTAGGGAGTGAAGCGAATGCCAGTAAGTACGGGAACAATCTAAGAGTCAGTCCATAGGTATGTTTCAAGGCCAACCATGACCCAATAGAACTCCGTCTTAGTCACAAATGATTTGTAGATTATAAAAATAATGTGGGAAAAAAGCAGGCAACCTAGTGTATTGTAAAGAGCACTAGGTCAAAGGTCCTGAGGCCTAGATTCTAATCCTGGCTTTGTCACTTACTGGCGGTGAGAGCCTGGGTAAGTCATTTAACCTCTGCGCTCGTCCTCATTAGTAAAATGAAGATACACCAGCTGCTCTGATTAACTCATTAGGCTTAAGGACCACATCTGATAGGGCTGTGAATACACTTTCCTCATTAGTAAAATGAAGATACACCACCTGTTCTGATTAACTCATTTGGCTGTAAAGATCACATCTGATAGGGCTGTGAATGCTCATGGTAAATTTTTCCGTAAGCATTTAAGTTGACATCACAATATGCACTACATTAGTTAACAATGTATATACTCCTTCCAAGTACCCCAAACGGAATTCTTCCTCCTCAATCTAAATTTTATGTTCCAATTAACATTTCTCATCTGAAAAGCAGGTTTTTCTCCCCCAAAGCACTGTTAAATTCTAATTGTATTCGACCTCCTCACCTGCAAGGTGGAGGTTTTCTCACTAGACAGTGAACCCCTCGGGCAGGTTCTGTCTATGCATCTCTAGCAAACAGAACTAAGTAAAGCACCTGCAATGAATGAACCCATCGCTCAATCAGAAACTATTCGCCCCATTTTGCAAACGACTAAGCTGAAGCCCAAAGGAATAGAGTAAGGGTCACACGAATTAGCGACAGCTCCGGGACCAGAACCCAGGGCGGCTGATCTCCACAGGGATAACAGGGTTCCCGCCATCCGCACGGAGTCGGACAACAGGGTTCCCGCCATCCGCACGGAGTCTTCTCCGCGACACTCGCGCTGGGCCCTCGCGCCGCCGCCCGCACCCGCCGCCCGGACACCGGGCCCCCGAGGCCAGGTCCCCACGGCCTGCGACTCCCGCAACTCCACCCCACGCTCCCGGCCCTCCGCCAGCGCCTAGTCCCAGCTTCCCGCGCTCCGCACCCCGCCCGGGTACCGCCGCACTCACCACCGCGGGTCCCGCTCACCGCCCTGACTTCCGGTATGCTCCCTCAACAGTCCGCCGCTCGTTTAAGGGAAACCGCTGCCGCCGCCCGCGCGTTCCGCCGCGGGTCCCTGACGCTCAGGGAGGGCGCGGTCTTCGGGGGCCGCCACCTGCGGACCACCTTAGCTTTCGTTCACTCATTTATTCATCCATCCATCCATCAGTCGCTCAACCATATTTTATGGAAAGTCCACTTAGGCAAACACTGTTTTAGGACCTGTCGCTACATCAGAAAATAACGAACAGGACAATTTTAGACAGTGATAAGGACCGCGAAAGAAACGGAAGGGATGGTATAAAGGGAACGAGATGGGGGAGAAGCATTTTAAATTAGGCAAAGTTAGTCCTGAGTAAGGGGCGATTAATCTGAGACCTGAAAGGCGAGAAGGAGCAGGCGTCGGTGTGGGAGAAGCAGAGGGAGCCCAGGAATACGGGGTAGCGATGAAGCTGGAGGTGGGCAAGACAGGCCATGGTGATAAAGAATTCCGGCCCTATACCAACTGAGTGCTGAGGGGATTCAGAAGGGGAACAATGTGATCTGGTTTATGTATTAAACATCTCTCTGGACATAATATGATGGATGGATTCTAGAAACCAAGAGACCACACAGAAGCCAGGGCCAGTGCTGACCACCAGACAGCAGTTCTAATTTTCTGTCCTCCTACCACCTGCCTCCTTCACCCCATCTCCAGACTCTCAAGCCAATTAGTCCAGGTTTCTTTCTTTCCTTCTTCCATCTATCACTCTGTCAACTCAACATTTTCTAAGTGTTGTGTACGTATGTGCTAGGCACTAGGGATGTACTCATATACAGCATCCCTCATGGGTCCTGCCCTTATAGAACTTGCAACCTAATTTCTCCATTTACTGGCTGTTATCACAGTTCAGCTTCTCCCTCTGCCCAGTCAAGCTTCCTTTTCTCTTTTTCACAGGTATAGATTCTTAACACTAAACACTATGTGGTCGACAAATAATATCCCCCAAAAATGTCCATGTCTTAATCCTTGGAACATATGAATACACTCCAGGTGTGATTAAGTTCAGGCCTTTGAGATGGGATGTTTATCCTGGGTTATCCAGGTGAGCGCAATGTAATCACAGAGGTGCTTATAACAAGGAAGACAGAGATGATTTGGGGTGGAAGGGAGGGTTGGAGAAGATGGTGAACTGCTGGCTTTGAAGATGAAGGAGCCATAAACCAAAGAATGTAGGTAGGATTTAGAGTAATGAAATGTTCTAAAATTGGTCGTTATGGTCATGCCACTCTATGAGTATACTAAAAACCACTGAATTATAAACTTTAAATAGAATTGTATGGTATGTGAATTATACCTCAATAAAGCTTTTCGTTTTTTTTTAAGAGAGAGATGTCTACTTTTCCCCCTAGATAGGATCATAGATGCACGTAATACCTGAAACTGCTACAACCATTCTTCAGCCACAAAGAGAATCAGCCTGGGGCAAAGGCAACTCACCGAGGGTGGGAGGGAAAAGATGGAAAGAACCTGGGTCCTTGATGGCATCATTTAGCCAAATGGTTATTACCATGCCTGGAGCTTGCTCAAATGCTGGACATCCCACTATGTGGAATAAGAAAATCCCTTATCATTTAAGCCAGTTAGAGTCAGAGAGTTCTGTTCTTTGAAGTCAATGGCACCTACTTGATAAACTACCAGCCACAAGTTACTGATGGGTAGGAGACACAGTGAGGACAGTGTTTTTAAAAAAGACGATATGGTTTTAAGGGGGGAAAAAACAGGTGAAAAAATAGATAGCAGAAAGGAGCTAGTTGACGTGAATGGAATGATTAACCTTTTCTTGTTCCTAAAATCATTCTCCAATTTCTTCCTTGGACCCGTGCTCATTTTCTATAGATTCATTAACAATAAAACAGAGTTGAAGGTTCAGAAAAACTGATATAAAGCTCATATCACCATGAATAGCCTCATACGTAGCATCTCAGATGAAATCTGTTTGTGGGAATAGATGCTCCCCAGTCAGAAGTTCTATCATGGAAAATTATGTACAAACTCTTTTAACATTCATTTTGCTTTATTTGCTTATTTTATGCACACAGGTATTTCTTTAGACTACTTTGTTTCCGCTCAGAAAAAATATGAAATGGTATTCTTATGGTATTTATGTTTAAAATCTCTTCTTTATTGTGACCTTTAATATCCACTGCATCTACTACCACCAGATTGGAAACATGTAAATGAGACCTTTCAAGAAACCAGTGGGTTCCTAGGAGAGGAAATATCTTCCATATATTACAACATGGGATTTTATAAGAACCTTCTGTAATGCACATTCTCACTCATGATCTATATGGGTTCTGCTTTTTCCTAAATGTGACTTCTCTTGTTAATGTGTCTCCGTGTCATCCTTTGTGACCTATTCCTCCTGATAACATCTGGGCCCTGGCTGGCACCATCCAACTGCCTGTTTAATACAGGAACGAAAAGGGACAAAGGTAGGGTCTATGTTGATTGCATCAAGCAGGGTCTCCAATATTGTTTTTGCAAATCCCAGTCTCCTAGAGTAACTCAATTTCTAAGTATTCTGGAAAAAGAAGGAGAAAATTCTATCTATAGTGAATGTTAAGTAGGTTATTTTTAAGACCTTATTTTTAAAAGCAGTTTTAGGATTATAATGAAATTGAGAAAAAGGTACAGAGATTTCCCATATATCTCTCCACCCCAACACTTGCATGGCCTCCCTCTCCCCCATTCTAAACATCACTCACCAGAATGGTACCGTCTTTACCTTTCATTTTTTTTTAACCAAGGATGATCCTACATCAACACATCATAATCATCCCCAATCCATAGTTTACCTTCAGATTGACTCTTGGTTTTTTGTCTACAGATTTAAACAAAAGTATAATAACATATTATTATAGTATAAAAGCACAAATAACATTATGCCATATGGAGTAATTTCACTGCCCTAAAAATCCTCTGTGCTCTGCCTACTTTTCTCACCTCATCACTGATCTTTTCGTGGTCTCCATAGATTTATCCTTCCCAGAATGTCATATAATTGAAACCATCTAGAACATAGCCTTTTCAGATTGGCTTCTTTCCCTTTATACTATGTATTTAAGGTTCCTCCGTGTTTTTTTGTAGTGACTTGATAGCTTATTTCTTTTTAACACTAAATAATATTCCATGGTCTGGATGTATCACAGCTTATCCACTCAAACTACTAAAGGACATCTTGGTTGCTCCCAAGTTTTGACAATTATGAATAAAGCTGCTATAAACATCCATGTGCATGTTTTTCTGTGGACGTAAGTTTTCAACTTCTTTGGGTAAATACCAAGAACTGTGATGGATGGATCATATGGTAAGAGTACGTTTCATTTTTTAAGAAACCACTAAACTCTCTTCCGAACTGGCTGCATCATTTTGCATGCCCACCAGCAACGAATGAGTTCCTGTTGCTTCATGTCAACACCAGCGCTTGATGTTGTCAGTGTTCTAGATGTCACTCATTCTAATAGGTGTGTAATGGCGTCTCGTTATTTTAATTTACATTTCCCTGATGACATAGGATGTAAAGCAGCTTTTCATAAGCTTATTTTCCAACTTTTCTGTTAAGATTTTTGACCCATTTTTTTAATCAGGTTGTTTGTTTTCTTATGATTGAGTTTTAAGAATTCTTTGTATATTTTGAATAGCAGTCCCTTTCCAGATGTGTCTTTTGCAAATATTTCCTCTCAGTTTGTGGCTTGTCTTCTAATTCTCTCGATATTGTCTTTCACAAAGCAGATGACCGATTTACATTTTTTTTTCATGGATCATATCTGGCATTGTATCTAAAAAAGGCATCGCCATATACAAGATGTTCTAGGTTTTCTCCTATGTTATCTTCTAGGAGTTTTATAGTTTTACATTTTACATTTAGGTCTATGATCCATTTTGAGTGCATTATTGTGAAGAGTGTAAGGTCTGGGTCTAGATTCATTTTTTTGTATTTATATGTCCATTTGTTCAAGCACCGTTTGTTGAAAGAGACTATTATCTATTATACTGTCTTTGCTCCTTCGTCAAAGATCAGTTAACTATATTTGTGGGATTTTTTTCTGGGCTCTCAGTTTTGTTCCATTGATCTATTTGTCTGTTCCTTCACCAATACCACACTGTCTTGACAACTGTAATGTTATCATAAGTCTTGAGGTCATATAGCATTAGTTCTCCAACTTTATTCTTCTCCTTCAATAATATGTTGGCTATTTGAGTTGTTTGCCTCTCTGTATAAACGTCCAAATCGGTTTGCTGACATCCATAAACTAGCTGGCTGAGATTTTGATTGAGATTGCATTGAATCTATAGGTTGAATTAGGAAGAACCAACATCTTGACAATATTGAGTCTTCCTATCCAGAACATGGAATATCTCTCCATTTATCTAGTTCTTTTTTTCATTTCATTCATCAGAGAGGCAAAACATAAAAGAGAATTAATAAGAACAAAGAAGTCGGGGATCAAAGGCAAGAGCCTTGGGGCACACGCTTGAGATGGGCACAGTCAGAACAAACGCATCACTGGCTGCCACAGCGGCAGCTGGAACAAGAGACAGGCGGGGTCGTTAAATATGAACTGATGCATAAAATGTGTCAAATACACTGGCTAAAAGCATGACTTTTATTTTTGCCTATTTACAAGTGACCTCATGAGATGTGATATGGAGCTGGAAGTCTAAGCTTCAAATTCAGTAGCATATTATTATCTCTCTGTGGAGTATTGAATTTTCTATACAATGGGAACACAAGGCAAACATTTTAGAAGGAGGTCTCTGGGTATTTGTAAGCTGTGCCATCCCCGATTCTACTATTTGATTCCCTGATTCATGTATTCTGGCTGAAGGGAGAATAATTACTGTGTATCATGCTGATTCACAGAATATTCTCCATGTTGCGGGCAGCACTCCATATTGATAGTGTTTATTTAACCAGCTAGAGGCATAAGTGAATTTTAATAAGCCATTGCACTGTTCTGTAAGGCCAGCTG